CGAGGGACGCTGACGAGCCGCGAGCAGGATCCTTTTCGTCAGGATATCGTCCAGGATTTTGAATGTGTGTATGTATATATGTATGTATAATATATGTGTGTGTATATATATATATATATATATATATATATATATATATATATATATGTGTATATATATATATATATATATATATATATATATATATATATATATATATATATATATATATATATATACACACACACACACACACACACACACACACACACACACACACACACACACACATATATATATATATATATATATATATATATATATATATATATATATATATATATATATATATATATATATATATATATATATACTATATATATATATATATATATATATATATATATATATATACATATATATATATATATATATATATATATATATATATATATATATATATATATAACTTTGATGGATTACTAAGCACGTTTGATTTCATTAATCCAACGAAACGAGTTCGAACAATTATGCGCTGTATCCGAAGCCACCGAAAATAGTCTTTGTGTCAGAAGCGGACCACCTCCTCATAGATACTTATGTAGTTGCACCATTAATATCTAAATTGTTTATTTCTACAATTTCACTATCAATATGTAATGTTTATTTCATTCAACAAGCATGTGTTAAAAGGAATATCAGCATCATTTCATTAGTTTCAATTAATTGGAAAGGTGTGGATGGATAGTTTAAAAGGGATTTATTAAGTGTCCGTCCTTGGTATTAGGCGGAAGTGAAATAAACACTTGGCGGCGTAAGTAAACAATGAGCCAAAAAGTGTCGTCCTTCGCAAAATGTTGATCTCGTGATAGTAATGGTAGAAATAATGATAATGATAATAGTAATGGTGATAATGATGATTATAAAAAAAGCTTATTATAAAAAAGTAATGAAATAACAATGATGATAACGATGAATATAATAATGATAATACAAAAAATAGTAAATACGTCAGTTAACATTACAAATCTAATATATACTTTTAGAGTATATATTAGATTTGTAAATATGTTAACTGACGTATAAAAGGTATGAATGAGAATGAATAACTTCCAAATACAAATCTCTCGTATTGTGAAGACATTCATTCCCCATTCATACCTTTTCTATATTTGTCAACACGAATACGGTTCATGTTCACTGCCATTGTACTTCCACGTTACGCAGGCCGCCTGAATACAGACCGTCATTAAAGTTGATTTGCTTCGCCCAGAGAAGACCATGGCGGATGAAGTCGGGGCTGAAGTCAACACGTCCTCCTTCAGCGTCGTGGACCGGAGTTTTGGAGGAATGGGCTTCGTCGGGCTGCAGTTGGGTCTCACGCTGCTGGTGTGGGCGTCTTCGGGCCTCATCGCAGTCACCATCCTGCGCAGTGTCTCGCTCAGCTCCCAGTACTTCTTCTGGTACCTCCTCAACTTCGTCGCTAATATTATTTTGTTCAGGTTAGTGGTGTGTAATGTACTGTGCGTGTTATGTTTATGCTATTTTTTTGTTCAAGTTAGTAGTGTGTTATCTCGTGTACGGGTTATGTATGTTTAGACTTGTATCTGATGCCTAGATGCGCACCGATATGAGAGTGAATTCAGAATTTTAGAATTGCGATTTTCTGATATATGTCAGAAGCTAAGCTGGAATTTACTGTCTCTCGTCGTTACTTGACAGACTGGCTTACCTCGTGTTGGCGATATGGCTGCTGAGGAAGTTCGCAGGCACGGGGACTTCCTTCGTGTCTAGTCCCGACGTCTGCTTCTATAGCCTCATGATGGGGAGCTTCTACAGGGTGGTTATGCACATGTCGGTCCTCATGATCGCCCTGGAGCGCTACATCACGATCCTCAAGCCCCTAACCCACTGCTACATCCTCACCGACAGGAGGATCAAGTACTCTATCGCTTCCACGTGGCTTATCGCTTCGTGCTACATCGTGGGCTTCGCCGTCCACAGGTACGTGTACGACGCCCCGGAGGTCATCGTGGGCTGCAACGTAGAGACCTTCCACGTGTGGAGAATCTACGTGTCGCATATGTCTGTCTGCACCCTGGTCTTCCTGTCAGTCCTCGTCATGTACGGGCACCTCCACGTCATCGGCAGGAAGCACCTGAGGATCATTGAGGCCGAGAGGAGGATGTTCAGCCTCACTCGCTACCAGCGGAGTCTCAAGCGCTCGAGGGTCGCCTTCATGATCACCCTCCAGATCTTCTGCGTCGAAGTACCAGTCTTCATCTTCGGCATTATGTCCCTCACGCACGCGGAGCAGCTGTATGCGAGAATCGCCTTTCTGCTCGTCTCTCTGGGCCAGATCTCGCAACCCGCCTTTTATGCTCTATTTTCCTCCGAGTTCAGGAAAGCGCTCAAGAAGCTGATCAAGCAGGCAGCGGTTCAGCCTTTAGATGACCTTGACATTGGCGTCGGGATGTTCCGAAGGGACCCGCGCCAGGAGAACGCCCTCGAGAGGTTTTGAATTACCAGCCTTGGAGGGTTTTGTCTCCCTCTTTCTGCATAAACACATACACACATCACACACACACACACACACACACATATATATGCGTATGTGTATGTGTGTATATATATATGTGTTCATGTCTGTATGTATATCCTTATATACAGTTATTTTAATCGTGAGTATTTTAAGCAATACATAATTCAGTGACCAGATTTTGTACACATTTTCATTATACTATTTTTTTGTGGAAATTTTTGTCTTAGATATCTGATTACATACTGAGGGATTACTTGTTCATAATTTGACAAAGAAATTGTGGAATAGACCAGGAATTAAACCTTTGTTGCAGAAATGTATATTTATAAGTATATTTACTGTCTTAAAATGTTTTTAGTGTGAGAAAAGAAAGAGAGAAATACGTACATAGATAAAGAGAGAGTGGAGAGAGAGAGAGAGAGAGAGAGAGAGAGAGAGAAGGAGAGAAGAGAGAGAGAGAGAGAGAGAGAAGAGAGAGAGAGAGGGAGAGAGGGAGGGAGGGAGGGAGGGAGGAGGGAGGGAGGGAGAGAGAGAGAGAGGGAGTGATAGAGGGAGAGATAGATAGAGAGAGAGAGAGAGAAGAGAGAGAGAGGAGAGGAGAGAGAGAGAGAGAGAGAGAGAGAGAGAGAGAGAGGGAAAGTGAAAGAGAAGGAGAGAGAAAAAGAGAGTTAGATAGATAAGTAGAGAGAGAGAGAAATAGATAGATAAATAGAGAGAGAGAGAGAGAGTGAGAGAGACAGACAGACAGAGAAACAGAACATTCGTTTTATATAAAGGTTTAAATAATTCTTCATCATAAATAAAGGCACAGGAAAATATGTCACACAGACCGAAAATTAAGCTGACGTTTGGATACATTTTAAAAAATCACTCCTTTTTCACTTTTCATTTATCATAATCTCACTGCATATAACATATATACAGTGATTGTTTTTCATTTGTACGACTTGAATCAATAAGGAAGATGCATTTAACTTTTTTTTTTTTTTTTTTTTTTTTTAATCAGGATTATTATCCTTTCGGATTTTTTTTTTATATAGAGCTTCACGAGTATTACGCTTTTCTTTTTTTCTTTTTACTAGAAGCTGAATATCACAATTTTCATCATTATTATTATCACTACTATCATCATCAATATAATCACATTTATTATCATCATTATTATAATGACAAATTTTATCATCATTATTATTATGACATTTATTATCATCATCATTATTATGACATTTATTATCATCATTATAATCATCATCATCATTATCATCATCACCATCATCATTATTTTTAGGAATGGAAAATAAAAGAGAAGAATATCAGTATGACTTATTTATATTTTGAACATGGCTTACATGGACATGCTTGTTCAGCTCTCTCCTGTAGAGCTTGTGTGATTTTGTCCGTTTAATAAAAATCTTATACATTGTTCCTGGGAGAGCAAAGATGCCTATTTACTTTATGTGCATGTGATAGACCCAAAAAATTACAAAAGGGGAGAAAAAATACAAAATAAAATCTACGTGAATATTAAAATGCATTTGAAGTAGCATTTTAGTCTCTGCATTGGAACAATATATGTATATGTATATACAGGTATGTTATATAAAAGTACATGGACTGGTCAGACATATTGTGAACTTAAATAGGATAATAAAAAAGTATTGAAATGAAAATAGAACAGAAATGATCATTTGTCCTCATGAAACTTTGGTTGAAAGTTTCATGTAAACAAATAAATCAGTATTAATGGGTTTAGACTGAAATAGGTATTGTTTCTACAAGACACAATCTATGGAGAGTCGAGACGTACACGCAGGTATACTTATAATATATAAGGGAAATCCTAAATTTTAAGGGGGGGGGGTGATGAGCAAAATGTCACAATCAAAATAGTACAGTTATAGTGTAACTGGTTCCAAATCGATTAATATTCTTTTTCTTAATAACCTATTTTATAAAATACATTTCATCAACAAATAATAATGTTAAAAGTAAGCCTACAGACAAACGTGGAAGATGAAGACTTGCTGATATTACGGGGGTTACGAGAAACAAAAAGGAAAAAAAAAATGAACCTAAAATTTTCTGGCGAAGAGAGGAAAGAAAAATACATCTCCGTTTCACTTCTTTGGTATTGCAACTCTGAATGCTAAAATGTATAATCTATGACACGATCAGACTCTATAGACAGTAGTTCTATTCATCCGGAATAATAAAAAAAATATGCTTGTCAAAATAAATCTAGCCTAGCAGAGGAAAGCGCTCGCAACTTTAAATCTTTTATTCTCTCTCTCTCTCTCCGTGGACTGTTCGCCGCGGCCATCTTGGGACCGTCCTCGGCTCACTACCCGTCCTGCACTAACTGCTCTTTCTCCTATTGACCAGCAATAAGTTGTACCCACTGCGCTCATCATTCTAACGGGGGCTTGAATTAATAATAAAAAGGATTACTAGTCGACTATAAGTAGAAGGAAGGAGTTCTGAATGAAGTAGCTTATGGTGGAAGAAGGAAAAGGAGGGGGGGGGAGGAAAATTGCTATGATTGCCTAAACGAGACGATAGCCTGTTTGGGGAATGAAGTTGAGTATTGCTGTGGTCGCCAGCTACTGCATGTTAAAACAGTGGATTCTTATAATGTAATACTGGAATACTGTATCTATCTCTACAACAATGCCAAGTGAATATAGCTTTAACTTACAGTGAACTGCAGTTTGACGTACTTTGATACGCTGACAAGGCTTCGTCAATGGGTAATTTAGCTCTTCATCATGAAACTACTAAATTTAAATAGTCAAAAAATTGATAAGAGAAAAAAAGCATTAGTTAAATTCAACAATATCATATTTACACATTTCTTAGTGCGGCGTACAAGACTACAGACATAAACTTCTATGCTTCTCCCGCCTCTTTAACGAACCACAAGACCGAACTCTAAAAAGAAAAAAGGAAAGAAAAAAAAAGTACAGCTAATGCCAAGTGGTCGGAGACGAACTCCACCAGACGACTTTAACATGTTGAGGACCCCAAAGGAATCAGCAGGACCTGAGAGCCGCGGGGCCGTCCGCCTCATCCTCTGGAAATCGCCTCGCAGCTGGCAGCGTCCTCTCGCCTCCCTTTCTTGCATCACACGGGGAGGCCACTCCTAGAAGAGGCGCTGGCCAGCTGGGACGAGCATCTTCGAACCGGACTTGGTGGGGGTTGAGGAGCGGGGTGGGGCTGTTTGGGGGGCGTCACTCTCTTCGGCGGGTATGTACAAGGTGCAAGACCAGCTCTTCGCTTTCATCTGAGAATCGCGAGAGCTGATTTTGTGGCAATAACTGAAAGAAAAAAGTCTTGGCCGCTGAATCTCGTACTAACCACGAGAAACTAGACTAAACTTGGGTGAACAGCAAGCTGTGAGCACCATTCTGGCTTGTGAAGTACACACACACGCACACTAATTAACTCGTCTGCGGATTAGCGTCTGTGACCTGCAAGAGAAGGGGGGAAATGTATTAGTAAAATGGTAGGAAAAGTTGGTTTATATTCATTATCACGCAATCATATTTACCGACATGGCTCTAAAACTAACTAGTGATTCCTAGACTAGACTATATTAGACGAAACTAGAGCCTACTGACTAGATTCTACTTTAGTATCACGGTGCGGGAGGTGTCCTCTAGGAATCTAACGTGTTCTGTGCCCAACAAGTGGTTAGGATCATACCTCCATAACATTAAGGTCTTGCTCTTCATCGCAGAGGATTATGAGCATCAGGTATCTTTTCCTCCAGATCGTTTTCTTTCAAATGTATGTACTATTCATTGCGTAAAACAAGCAAAATATATCTCTAACTGCAACACTAAATAACACAAAAGATATCAACAACAACATTATCAGTATTCATAAATTTCTGAGTCTTTTGAGGACTTGACTATGATATACTCTTAGCAAGCGCATCGCTTTGCGTCTCTGAAGACTAGATAAGGATGGGTGAAGGATTGGACGTGGATTTGGGATGGGATTGGACGGACGTAGCGTGGAGGGTAGGATGTGGGAAGGGAGCGAGGGATGTTTGGGAGAAGGTGCTTGATGTCCCCTTTGGCTGGCCTCTCGGTTGGCTCTCTCCGGCAAGCGTCAAGTGCGTCCCACGGTCGGTTGTCTCTGGCTCTTGGAAAGACGCTATTGTCGCAGCTGTTGTCAGGTACTGTACAGTGTTTGCAAGCTGAGCTGAAGTGTTAGGCAGTCGGCGCGGCAAAGGTTTCTCCGTTGCTCTGTGGCTGTTAATAAAGTCTTTCATGAGGCCTGAAAATACGTGACCCTGAACCTGTGGCTTAGCATGGGTGAAGGCTGGTACAAAGCTATCATTACGGGGCTGTACAGTGAAAATCTGTGTGGGTGTTGGTGTGTGGCGCTTGATACTCTGCGTCTGGCGTATGTGCCCGGGTCCGTGGTGGTCCAGGAGGTCAAGAGAGTGTGTGGTGGAGAGGGAGGCGTTATGTACAGGGGAGTTTGATCGGGTCTCAGACTTCGTGAGGTGGAGGCGGGTTGTGGGGGCCAAGGGGACCACCCCAGGCGTGCGATTGGGGGTCCGTGTGGTCAGGAAATCACTGACGCTGAGGTTACTGATCTTCCATCCGCTCTGGCCGAGGAAGTCCGTCAAGGTGTCATCTGGCTGTGCTCGGAAATTGACATAGTTACCCACATAACTACTCTCTGGGAAGCTCTGTTTGTGCGTTTCAAGCGGGAGGTTCACGCCAAAACTAGTAAACAGGTTATTTCTAGGATCTCTATTGTCTAAATTAAGCTCGGCACTATCACCATCACCACTAACGTCAAGAATAATGTTCCCGTCACCGTCCTTATCATCATCACCGTCACCATTAATGAACTCAGAGAGGGATATTCCAGGAGGGGCAACGTGGTCTGTGATGTCATCAATATTAGTGATGAATATCAGGTCCTCCTCCTCTGACGAAGAGAGGTTTTTACACAGTGGGCCG